TCTCTCTCTCTCTCTCTCTCTCTCTCTCTCTCTCTCTCTCTCTCTCTCCAAAAAAAGATTAATTTACTTACGTATTTTTTTTTATGAGTGTCCTAGCTGCTTATTCACCTGCATGCCAGAAGAGGACATTAGATGACATAACAGATAGTTGGGAGCCACCATGTGGTTGCTGGGAATTGAACTCAGGACCTCTGGAAGAGCATTTAGTTCTCTTAACAGCTGAGCCATCTCTCCAGCTCCAAAAGGTCTTGTTTGTTTGTTTGTTTGTTTGTTTGTTTGCTTGAGACAGGGTAAAAGGAGTTTGTTTGTTTGAGACAGGGTAAAAGGTCTTGTTTGTTTGTTTGTTTGTTTGTTTGAGACAGGGTCTCTATGTGTAGCCTTGGCTATCATGGAACTTGCTCTATAGACCAGGCTGGGCTGGAAGTCATAGAAATCCTCCTGCCTGTGTCTCCCCAGGCTGGGAATCAAAGATGTGTATGCTGCTGCTACCGGTACCCGCTGCTGTCTAACCCTTAACCCCATTTTCTGTATTGCTCCTGGTCTCAGGTGGTGAGGTTTGCATATTCCATTTAGCTTCTTGGCCACATCTCAGGCCTCTTTTAACCGTAAATCTTTTTGGCATTTCTTTTCTCCCATGTCTTGGGAGTCCAGGAATCTTGGCTCTTATGTAGTTCCATCAGGGTGGGAGGGTCCTAGGTTCATGGGAGCAGCTCCCACCCCCACCACCTGGTCACCGTGCAACCTGTGAGCCACACAATCCCGGAGTACATGTTCAGATTTCCTACTGGAGTGATATAAGGGGACTGAATGGAGATAGGAGGGAGGGGAGCTGCAGTAACTCAGCTCCTCATACTCTGTCTTATGGATGGGATTTTGTTTCTCCCTATGTGACCAGAACATTCTCTCCCTGTTCTTCCCTTACCTTCTATCTCCTGCTATTCTCTGTACCCAACTATGATAATAACTTCCTTTGGGTTGGAAGTTCCAGTTTCCCCAGCATATTTATTAGTGGTGTCCCTTTGACTCGAAATCACTCTCTCTTTAATGTCAGATTCTATGCTAAATCCTTAATTGTCACATGAATTCACAATCACAGTTTTGGCAGTGACCAGGAACTATTTTCCATTTGACTCCAGCTCCTCTACGTGACAGACATTTGCTTCTAGACATTCCATCAGACAAACTCAATTTTTTAGAGGCAAAGCTGATCAAAGGCTTTGTTTAAGGTCTCGAATAAACTAGAACCTACTTTGTGCCCAGCCTTGAACTTTTGGATGTCCTTCCTCCAGTTCCTGAATTCTGGGGTTACAGACACATGCTACCATGTTCAGCTTTTGTGATGCTAGGGACCAAACCCAGGGCTTTGTGCATGCTAGCACACACTCTACCAACTGAGCTACATCCCCAAGCCTGATCAAAGACTCCTTTCTAGACACAAGGCTCTTCCACCCTGGTGGGATGTGGAAGGACTGTGTTCCATCCAGTCAGTGTGTCTGGAATGACATGGCAGCGGCTGTGGCTACCTCATCTTGGATTGGTATGTGTGACACAGAAAAGTAAGCGTTAAGACAAAGATGGTGGTGACCTTGGAGCTGTGTGATCAGTACTAAGTTTGGTGACGTATCAGGCCAGGAACTGGGGACAAAAAGACTAGATGCCATCTGGGAAGCCACTGCATGATGGGCCTTCAGTGTACAGGACACTTGCTTAAGAATCCTATAGTCTGAGCCATTCTGAGGGTTAATATGGACTCTCATTAATAGGAGGTCAATCTGGGGAACATATCTCTTGGCAATGTCACCAGGGGAAGGAGTAAGAGTGGAGTCCCAGGTCCTCCCCAGCACACTTGGGGTGAACCCTGACCTGAAGCTGCAAGCACGGCCCTTCCCCCACCAAGTGTTTCAGCACTCATATTCTCAAGAGGAGTTTTTTTTATACAGTTTGGTTCTCAGCAATAGTGAGAACCAGCAGGGGTTCATATGGTCTGCTTGTAAAAGTTTATCCTAGAACCTCATCCCTGCTGAGGAAAGGGGGTTTATGTCAATGGTTCATACTGACCAGAGATCCCACTGCCGAAGAGGAGCCTCTCTCCTTACTCAATGCTCTTCCTATTCAGTTCCTCCGTCTTGGGGCTCTCCAACACACCCCTATAGATCCAGACCATCCTTGGTTTCTCAGGACCCCTGACTACTGGCAGGACACTGAACACACCTAGTCAAGACCTTAGATCTTCATTCTTCAGGGTCTAGCTTTTGTGTCTCCATTGTTTGGACTAGTATGGTTTCATCTTCCCGCTACATACCTGGTAGGACATTCTACTTCCCCATTTCAAAGCTCATGTTACCCTCCACCCAGGGACCAGGAAAGGCTGTGTCTTTCTGATCCCAAATGTTTTTGACCCAAAGTGGAGGTCTCTCCTGAGCCTCACTTCACTTTGCACTCTTGGGTCATTGGAGAGCTTGAAGCCTTGATGACCCTGAGCCTGCTTGGTTCATACTGAAATTCTCTATAACCATCCCCAAGTCAGATTACACAGGCTTAGTGAAAAGCATTTAACTCAGCTGTTCCCAAATGTGGTCACACACTGGACTCTCGATGCCCAGGCCCCACATCAGCATACTCAAAGGAGAATCTCTGACTGCATGGTACTTTTAATGGCTTAGGAGAGGACAATGTTCTCTCCGGAGGAGGATCAGTCTTCAACCCTTGCCAGCCCAGGTTTTAAATACTTCTCACCGTTAGGATGGCAAGGCCAGATTGGAAGAATTTCCCTCATGGTCAGCTTCAGACCTTACCCATCTCACCTCACTCATGGCTGAGAAAAGTGGGAGGAGAGCTGTATCTGGAGTTTGTAGAGGGGTCCCTTAAGAACAACATCCATTCAGAAAGTCCAGTACCCAGATCCATCATTGCCGTCTGCAGCTAATGGACGTGATGGGAACAGACTGAGCTCTGAGCCCTCTCTTCTGCCCCTGCTATGCTGAAAGCTATCACATGCACACATACAAGAGCACACCATGCAAGCACACACACATGCACACGTACAAGAGCACACCATGCAAGCATATACACATGCACACATACAAGAGCATACCATGCAAGCACACACACACATACACATGCATGCATGAGCATGCATACATACGAGAACACACACACAAGCACACACACACATGCACATGTGTGCGTGTGCATGCATGCATACACTCACCCATACACACATATTTGAGAACACACATCCAAGCACACACACACGCACATGCACACGCACATGTATGCACACATACAGGGGGAGTTGGGGTTGGAAACAACAATGCCACGAAACCCCTGCCTCCTGCACACCTGCCACCTATTCCCTCTACTCCCCATGCAGAGCCAACCACCCACAGATCCTTGGGAGAGGTAGACCTGAAATTTTCATGTTGGAAGTTTAGACTCCTGAGAGATCTGGGTGAAAGGCACCTCAAGCTTAGAAACAAAGCAGAAATGAGAGCTGAGCCAAGACAGTGAGCAGCTCAGCAAAGCCAAAGCTGGCACAGCCACTGAGGCTGGCACAGCCACTGAGGCTGGCACAGCAGAGGGTGGCAGTCTGAGGAGCGATCAGCATAGCTCCTTCTGAGGACAGTAGGATCTGAAGGCTATGAGCCATGGCCTCCAGTCATACCCTGCGTGTGTATCCACCCCAGCTGCCCCTCTGCACTCCCAAGCCATGCCTGCTTCTCCCAGGGAGTGTCCAGCAGAGGGAGGGAAGCCTTGATGCTCAGCCTCAGGGGACAGAGGCAGCGGGCACAGCTGCTGCCTCCACACTCAGCCCTGGCCTTCCCCAGGGGCTGGCTCTGGAAGACAGCCTCCCCCACAAGTCCGTGGGACACATGTGTGTCCTGCTGCTGCTCTGCTGAGGTGTGCTGTCCTCCTGGCTCCCTGCCAAGCCCTGTGCTGCCCCCCAGGGCCCTATGGTTCATGCTGTGGAATCCCTGTTTTCCCAGTTGGCCCGGCTGCAGCCAGACTCTCTGGAGTTGGACTTGGAATGTTTACTCATGAGCTGCAGGAGAGCAAAGCTAAGGCTTACTCCCGTGGCGGAGGGACCCAATCCAGCTGCTAGACGCGTGAAGACCTGGCCTGAGCCCTGCAGTCCTTTTTGCACAAGATTGGTTAAGTATGTCATTAGGAGCAGAGGCCTAGACTGAGTCTCAGGGGACAGGGACACTGTATCACACCACGGAATCTTACTAGGGACTGAGTTCTCTATGGGTCCACAGGGCGAGTCTGTGATCAGTTAGTGTCTTTATTGGGAAGGAGATCCAGCCTCCCCTGGCTTTGCCAGCACCCTAGGTCATAAGGATTTCGATGTCAAGCTCCAGCCGGCTGGCTTTGACCTCGTAGTCATAGCGGCTGTGGATCATACCTTGGCTTTGGCTGACATGCCAGCGCCAGTGAGTCTGGATAATGCAGGCTGCTTGGCGAGCCTGGAGGAATCGTCTGCGGGCCTGCCACATGCGGACGTATGACTGCACCTTCACCACTGCCCATTCCTGGCAGGTGTAGAGTTTTAGTGCCAAGCGCCGTTTTTGCTCCACTATCTTGGTTTGCACTGACCTCCACCAGCACTGGATGGCCCACGCTCCAAGTGCTGCATCCAGTAGCGCTCGGCGGACCATGTTGCCACGCCACCATGACTGTATCTTTATGGCTGTCTTCTCTAACTGATTGGGATGGGGAGGAAGGAAAAAAACGTGGAGATGTTCAATGGGGCTCTCTACCATTCCCATCCCACTTCTGTCCTTGGGAAGAAAGGGGACCTGTCCTAGGTTGTCCTGACCTCTTGTCTCTAGACCCCTATTATTTTCAGCCCCTACTTTACTGGCTGGTTTTGTGTGTTACTTGATCCAAGTGAGAGCCAAAGAGGAAAGGCCTCCATGAGATCCAGCTGTAAGGCATTTTCTCAATTAGTGATCAATCAGGGAGGGCCCAGTCTATAGTGGGTGGTGCCATCCCTGGCCTGGTAGTCCTGAGTTCTATAAGAAAGCAGGCTGAGCAAGCCAAGGGAAGCAAGTCAGTAAGCAGCATCTCTCCATGGCCACTGCATCAGCTTCTGCCTCCAGGTTTCTCCTCTGCTTGAGTTCCTGTCCTGATTCCTCCAATGATGGCCTATAATCTAGAAGTATAAATTGAATAAACCTTTTCCTCCCCAACCTGCTTTTTGATCATGGTATTTTGTCACAGAAACAGAATTCCCAACTAAGACACCTACTCACCTTTACACACTGCTCATCATCCACTGGGCAGGCCTCTTTTAAAAGGTCTGCACTCACAGTTTTTATGTCCATGGCCTTGGTCTTTAGAGTCCACTCATCTGTCATTTAGGCTACTCTAGCTTTAGCCCCGCCCTCAACTATTAGTCACATGCCCATCACTGGACTCCGCCCATCTTCCTAGGAGCCTTCTCTTCAGGCCCTGTCCACCTACATTTTAACCATAGCCTTGCCTCCTTCTGGATTGGCCAAGCTCTGTCTTCATGTACTCCCATCCTTGGGGCATGCAGTCTTCTGTGGCCTCCGGTTACTTCTCAGGCTCATCCCTGCCTCCTGGTTGCAGTGGAGAGTTATGAAACTTTCAGGTAAGACGGTCTTAGGTTAAGGCTCCTCACAGCCATTGTGGGTTTGGGAAGGTTTCAATGTCAAAGCTCCTGGAAGGGATCCAGGCAATGTGAAGCAATAGGAATGTATATTTTTGTCCAAATTTCTTAGCTTTGCTTAGAGAGGGTCTCTTGTCTCATCTTCCTGAGACTGTCATGCCACCTGGTGCTTTGTATGGAAAGACAGGCTCTTTGTGATGCAGTGAAGGGGTAGCTGAGCTGGGGTGTGGCTGGTTTAGATTAACAAGCAAAGCCCTGGATGAGTCCCAGGTGCCTGTGAGAGCAGAGACTTCCGCTCCTGTCCTTCTGAAGCTGCTGTGTTCATTCACCCTGTGTCACAGCATAAAGATGTAAGGACAGAGGTACTGCTGTTGTGACATCAATGTGTCCCATAGAACCTGGCACTAAAAGTAAGGGGATTGAAAAGGAATGGTACAGATGAGAAAGCAGGGAACCAGAAACCTACTGGAGAAAATCCTTCCTGGTGCCAGACACATAATTCTCCGAGCTGAAGATTCTGTTTTCATCAATATTTCTAAACTTATTTATTTTTTACATATGTGCATCTGAGTGAATGTATATATATGTGCACATGTGCATGCAGGGGTCTGTGTTGGTCAGAAGAGGGCATCCCCTGAAACTAGGGTTTCAAATGGTTGTGAGCTGCCATGGGGGTGTTGGGAATCAAACCTGGGACCCCTGCAGGAACAGGGAGTGTTCTTAATTGCTGAGCCCTTATCAGTGTTGGACTAAAGTTGAAGTTCCTTGTTGTAAACAAACTTGGCAATGCAATGACACAAGCAAAAGCATATATGGTTGTTTTCTCTTTTTAAATCCAGCCCCCCCCCTCCTTTTTTTCTTTTTCTCAAAAACTGGGGATTAAATCCAGAGACTTCAACATGCTAGACTAGTTCCCTGCTGCTGAGCTAGTCTCCAACCTGAGGGGAGTTTTGTAAAAATAGCCCTTATCAAAATCGGGGCTTGAAGAGCTAGCTCAGTGGGTAAGGTAAGATCGAGCTCTGTGAGAGCACAAGACTGTAGGTCCTCAATGTCCCCATAAACCCATAGCTTGGAGAATGGATAATGACAGGGGAATCCTGAGCACTCACTGGTCAGCCAGCCTAGCCAGAATGGTAAGCTTGGGGGCGGGGACAATTAAAGAAGGCATCTGATGAAGCTGGTCTCTGGCCTCCACGTATGCAAACATAGGTGAGCAACTTCCCCCACACGCATACACACACACACACACACACACACACACACACGCAGACAAGATTTTTAAAAGAATTCTCAGAAACTGATTATTGGACCAAAGCCAGGAAGTGGAGGTCTGTAAGAAAACTCTCAGGCTTTAAGCATCCCAATTGTCAATAATTTTTTCAGAAAATGATATAAAACCATCCCACGAAGGAATACTCAAAGGACATACAACTTAAGAAATGTGGGAAGCATCATGGAGACAGGGCAGTCAATATAAAGAAACACCCTGAGCATGGGCTGTCCACCACCTTTCCAAAGCTGGTGCCTGGGAGTGACTTCCTGTCCTAAATGCTCACTTAGCTTTGTATCTGCAAGTTTGTATGCTTTGTACTATTCTGAAAACTGGCCTTCTAACTGCTAAAAGCTTCAGGTCCCACAAAATGCGAATCTGTCCCCTCATGCTGGGAACATGCTATTGTGTAACCAGATCTCCTGGGAGCTCACCAAGTACTGTGTTTCCAAGACTCAGCACTGTGGTTGGTGCCCAGTGATCCAGGAACAAAGGAACAAACAATACAGAGACAGTGCAAGCCCTCTGGGGTCTGGAAGGCCATTCTGGTTTCAGCACAATTGCTCTTTTTTCTACATTTTTTTTCCTGAGTGTGGTTGGTTTGTAGGATCATACACCGTCCACAGCTCCTGTTTCGAAGGCTCCTGCTGCCTCATCCACCGCCATGAAAGTGTCCATCTGGACGTGTTTCAGGTCCAACCAAGCAAATTCTTTGCTTTGCATTCAAAGTCCTGAAAAGAATTCTCTTTTCTCCTGTTAATGGCTACCTAGCTGGGAGAGCAGAGCACAGCTGCCAATCATCCCAAAGGCATTTGTCTTTGTAGCAACTCCCCAGGGCTGTCATCAGAAGTTTGTTCCTACAGAACAGATCACACAGAGGAGGGGCTTCGGACATGACCATCTTTCCAGACTCAGCCCACCAGACTAGGTTGCGGTGGGCCAAATCCCTCTTCACTCCCCACTTTTCCTTGTGGATTGCCCGGCTCCATTCTGGCTCTGTGAGAAGTTGCCATGGTATCCTGGCTTTGTCTCTTCTTTGGATGAACTTGAAAAACCCCACCTGTCCTTTTATGCTCACATATTTTTTTTAGTTCCACAGTGGCAGCCAGTGTGTTGGGGAGTGCTCTGGTCTGTCTCTGGTTCCAGTGTGCTCTATCCTCTAGAAAATTTCTAGGTTGTAAATTTGGTCCCCAAGATGGCGGTGAGACATTTTAGAGTGAGGATTGAGACATTTAAGAGTGAGGTCTCAGAGAGAGGTCTTGTTATTGATGTGCCGCCCTCCAAACAAATCAATGGAGCAGGAACTCTGAAAGCTCCCAGTCGAAGCTGTTGAAAATGAAACTGATTTCTGAACATTCCCATTAACTCCACCGGGTCCTTTATTACAGCACCAACAAAATGGACTAAGGCAAGAAGCAGAATGAACCCCTGATTCTTACTAAGTAGTCACAGACCACGATGCTTGCAAGCTCTGATTCCTTATAGCTAGCTCCCTTCCCATATAAATATACCGAGGCCGGAGGATGACATAGGGTGTCCCTCTCTATCTCTTTCCATCTTATTCCCTCGAGACAGGGTCTGTCTCTCACTGAACCTGGAGCTAGGCTGGTTGCCAGCAAGCCCCAACAACTTTCCCATCTCTGTCCTGGCAGTTCTGGGGTTACAGGTGTATAAACAGCCAAGCCTAGCTTGTGACATGGGTGCTAAGACCTGTGCTCAGGTCCTCATGCCTGTACAGCCACTAACTCCTCCTCACAGAGCCATGGCTCCAGCCTTATCTTCTCTGCTTGCTTAAGTGTTTCTGATGAAACATATGGTGCGTTTCTTCTGCTGAAATTTTGGTATGCAGAAACATGATATACAGAAAGTGAATTTCCTGTGAAATTTGCCCTCAGACAGATTCCTCTATGCCATGTATACACGGACTTAAATTTCCTATTAAAGTAATTTAAATAACTTAAAACATGAATGTGTTTAAACAAACATATTGACATCCGTTACTTTGGGTTTTTTTGTTTTTTGTTTTTTGTTTGTTTGTTTGTTTCTTCAAGACAGGGTTTCTCTGTGTAGCCCTGGCTGTCCTGGAACTCACTCTGTAGACCAAGCTGGCCTCAAACTCAGAAATCCACCTGCCTCTGCCTCCCAAGTGCTGGGATTAAAAGCGTGCTCCACCACTGCCTGATGGCATCTGTCACTTTGTATGCTAATCTGAAAAGTTAGTAAAGAAAAGACAAAGGCTAAAAAGCTCAACATATCCGTATAAAAATGGATACATTTCAAGCCAAACTTTCCCTTGGCAATCATGTTTACTCCTTTTATTCCTTCTGCTCCTGGCTTAGATGTTGTCCTAGACATTTATACATAGAACATCTGTGTGTGTGTGTGTGTGTGTGTGTGTGAGTGTGTCTTTTAAAATTGAAGTTTAAAAAAAATATGATAAAATCGACCACGTAACCATCTAAAACTGCACCATCCAGAGGGTTTTAGCACACTCAATGGTATTAGAAACCACCTCTGCACACCAATTCAATTTTAAACCTAATTTCAAAAGGGGACTCTATGTCTACTGAGTGAGCACCCCTCATGGCTTCTCTGCCATCCCAGGCCTCCAGTCTCTATGCATCTCTAAGCAAACTTTATATAAGGGGCCTTCCATGGCTGACTTCTCTGTTAGTGGAATGATTTCATATTTTATCCATGCCTGCCAGTATTCCTCATTTTTAGGGCTGAATAGCAGTATCCCGTTGCAAGGTCACCCACATTTTTTTGGGATAGTCATCAGATGGTGGGCGCTTGAGTTCTTCCCACGTTTTTATGACTGTTAAAGGTGCTTCCATGAGTACTCACCTACAGTCTTTGTTTAAACGCCTGTCTTCATATGTTGCAGAGACGGCTTGGCAGTTAAGACTCAAGCCGCTCTTCTTCCTAGAGTTTGGTTCCTACACCCACATCAGGAGGCTCACGGCTGCTTATAACTGTAGCTACAGAGGGACTCTGACTCTTCCTGGTTTCTACAGGAAACTCCCATGAGCATGTCCACATGCAAGCACATGCATACACAAAACTAAATATAATACAATGATTTTTTAAAAATCCGAGCCCGGCTTTCATGTTTATTTTTCAGATGTAACTGAGCATGATCATTTGGCATCTAAATTTTGGGAAACCAGAACACTGATTTTTTGCTTTTACACAGCTGAATCATTTCCCATGTGCATCAGTCTCTGCAGATACTAGTAATAGTCCCTTGCACCATTATAGCCATGCTTGGGTGTGACCTGGGCTTTCGCCTCTCTGAAGTTAATGATGTCCAGCATGTTTGCATACACTTGATGGCCATTTGATACCTTTTTTTTTTTTTTTGTAAGCCAGGCTGGCCTTGAACTCACAAATCTGCCTGCCTCTGCCTTCTGAGTGCTGGGATTAAAGAAGTGAGCCACCACCGCCCAGTCCAT